TGAACATTTGTGTTCGAAAATCGGCCCAGGTCAATATTTTTTCATTATTCTTATCTGTGACATGAATTTTTTTGTGTGCCCTGATATTTATGACTATGTGCCATACACGTAGCGTGTGCATGGCTTGATTATTTTAAAAATTGTCATCAAAAGCGTTGATTAATGCTTGCTCCGCGTCCGCAAGAATAGCTCTGGGCTCCACACTTATTCCAAAGTCCAGACATGCATGTAGCACCCACTTGTAATCATATTCCAGTGTGGAACTTATACAACAGTACGCCAGGGTGTACGTCTTGTTTAAACTAGTAGCTGCAACGATGCGGAGCATCTGCGCACCGTATTTGTTCGTCCGGTAAGTACTGTCCATCTGGACAACAGGCGTTGTCCGCTCATGTCGTACTATCTTTGGAATCGCATTTGGAATAATCAATACATGCGTTAGATGATTTTGGTCTTCTACCTTGGTACAATGCATATCTCCATCTGCTACAATCTGGAGCATCAAGGCGTTCATTTCATTTTCTCCTTGAAGTTGATCCCATTTGTGCTGAATGATCATATTGTAGATGTCCTTTAAGGCTCACATTCGGTAAAACACTCCTTTAGGCCACCAAGAATATTGTTTTCCTTTGTCCTCGCTTCTAGGTGCCCGCGTAAAAAACGTTAGACATCAACATCGAACTACTTGCAGGCCGCAAAAAATAATTGTACATCGGCTGTCGGCTTGTGGTTGTGGGTAGCCTTGACTAGCTTCACGGTGTATTTGCTGTATGCTGACTCTCCCGAATTCGGACCTTCTAGTTACACCCGGTGACTTGGGAGGTTACATTGCTCTCTGGGGCTTCCGTAGATTCACTGTTCTTTTCATACTTGCCTCCGCGTGCACGTAGGACGTCCTTGTTGAAACCAGCGGTCTTCTCGAAGGCATATTTGTTCTTGCCTTTGACAGCAAACCCGTGGGATGCTGCCCATTTCTCTAAATCCATCCAAGTTCTCTCCAAAGTTTTAAACTCTTGTCCTTCGAAATGGGTTTAGCATACATCAAAGTCAGATGGTATTCCACTTATTGCCTTCAGGGTGGTCAAATTCACATACACGCGTTCCTCCTCCATCACAAATTTTGTCACCGTCATGACTTCGATCGTCTTCATGCGCTTCTGTATCTTCGTTGCAGCCAACATGGTTGGACTCGACCGTGGACACTTAAGTCTCTTAGTAGATTTCACTAGTAGTTACGGGAGTATTTCGTTCAAGAGCACGATCAAGGGCAGCGCAAGCACGGTCAGTAACGTTTGTCGACAATTTGGAGTAGGTGGATGAATGAAATGGATGTGGTGTACTAAGCTTAATAATATCTTAAAATACAGCTTAGCGTAAAAGTTGGTGGATAAGGAACGAGAACTTAACAAGAACGCTAAATGGACTCCGCAACTCCGACCCCCTTCGCTAAAGCATGACGAGATATTTTTTTTGAAACAAGTTATTGTCCGACGAGTAATTTGATTTTTGTCCGGACAAACGTTTGACGCGTTTGAAGTACGGAATAGTAAAATTTGAAGTACGGATTAGACACGCTCTAATAGAGCCCACTTTTTTCCTGGCCACACCATATAACGAGATACGAGCTCAGGGCGTTTTGATAGATATCTCGACTCCATCGTGTTCACACTTTTATACGGCTCATCTGTATCCTTAAGATAGCATTGTGAATGAACATTAGACGGTTTTACGATAGCGATACGATAATCAAAATCGTGACTACACGATAAGCTTTCGACCGACAACTTTGCGCATATATTCGTGTGACGATGGTGTCATCTGTGTTTGAGAAGTGTGCTTATTGATCGAATTTCGATACCTCATGTTTGCAGCTGTACACAGATGGCACTTTCGAAGGCATCTGATTGTGTCTTCTGATGATAGTAAGTGTTATTTACATTTATTAAAAGTTTAATACACGCTGTAACGCACATGGGACTGAAAAAAGACAGGCAAAGTGAAAAGAAAAGCGCTTTGGGTGTCTCCTAGACATGCATGAACGCTTCACTTTCATTTTGCATCTGTACGCAGAATGCTCTTATTTGTTCTCGTGCTTCTTGCTTTATCTTATCGTAGGTGCGATAAAGCTTACCCACAGCATTGACATAGCTAGAAGATTGCACTGCTTCCTTGTTCATGTGCACAAACAGTAATCAATTGTTTGAACGTAATACAGCCGTGAATGTGCCTTCTTCGGATCCAGCAACTCTTAATCGTTATCGAATCGTGCTAATATGTTCGAGTTACGAACGATCACAGTAAATGTCACCGGAGTAGTGTTGCACATGCGACATATGTGCTCTTCGCCACGCGCGGTATTGGCTTACTGTTCCCGTACAAGTGTGGACAAAAGCAGTAAATGGTGAATAATCGCGCAGATTACGGGAGTTCACATGTCTCTCACATTGATGTGAATCAAAAATGGGTGAGTCGCGATTTACCGGAATAGCCTGGAGCAGCCCTAGAATTCAATACTGCCGCTACTTGCACCGCGATTCCAGATAGTCTACAGGTTCAAGTGATGCATTTTTGTGTCGACTAATTAATTACCAGACAGATCCGTGGATGAAGCGATAAGCAGCTGCGTAACGCTCAGGTGATCGATCATTGCATCTATTGCTCATCCAACTGACGATGCACGGCACTTGATGCTAGCAATCAATCGATAGCTAGGACACCATTTCTATCGTATGAGCTCTACTGCATAAAGCTTCGCTCATCGCATGGGTCAAAGGAATACGCGCGAGGCGTTGTTATACGTGACCTATATAATGCCCCCAACTAAACATGCCTCTATTCCTACCACATCCGTAATACGCGTGCATTTATTGCACACTGACATCTTTCACACTTGTCACAGTAACAACGCGACAAGAAATCTCCAGTAGAGCCGATCACGAGTGCTCCAGCGGATATTGCCAGCTCACGCCCCTAGCTGAACTTGCTCGCTACTGCGGATATGCTAAACAATAAGCACGCTGCCACATGCAGTCACGCAAATCAAAGCCCAACTTGCGATATGGCAGGTCATCGAGTGTCGCATGTTTTTCTTCAAGCCAGTCGGCGAGAGCTAAAGCGCGGCGCAATGGGCTCACGGATCCATTTGTATAACAATAGATTGGCCATTCCCAAATTTTCACGGTTCTGCTCAAGCCAGTCTTTTTCCCTTCGGGGCAGTCAGTCGGAGGGAATCCTCCCTTGGGGAGCGAGTGGTCGAAGATCTGACGCGGGCACGTGCATGCAGTCGCGGGTGTGGGGTAGGAGAGACGGGTGGCAAGCGGCCCTAGCAGGGGTGTTTTAGGACTGGAGGCTACCCCACTGTCCTGGCCACACCACGTCAAGGGGCCAACCTGAAGGGGGAATCCAGATGGTTGAGCTCCTCGGAGAGATATACGCGGTTGCTTCTCCACCCACCAGTCACTTTGATCGCACTCCACGTCGGGGCGCAAGCGGTGAAGGGGGACATCGCAGATGGCTGAGCTCCTCGGGAGGATATGGCGGGTTGGCTTCTCCACGCCACGCAGTCACTTCGTGATCCACTCCACGTCGGGCGCAAGCGGCTGAAGGGGGATCGCAGATGGTTGAGCTCCTCGGAGAGATATACGGGGGTTGGCGTTCTCCACGCCACGCAGTTACTTCGGGATCCTCCACGTCGGGCCAAGCGCTGAAGGGAGCCACCATCGCAGATGGTTGAGCTCCTCGGAGAGATATTGGCGGGTTGGGTTCTCACGCCACGCAGTCACTTCGGTGTTCGCACTCCACGTCGGGGGCCAAGCCTAAAGGGGTTTGTTGCCTTATATGGCAGATACCCCGTTGTACGTGCGCCCGTCCTGTCCCCAGTCTACTTGTCCCAGCGGTCGATTGTGTAGTTGGTTGGTAGGAGGGTCTCGACTGTTGTGCCCTGGTAGGAGCCTTTGTGTGATAGCTTCTGTCCTTTCGTGTTGTTATTTAATAAGGAGACCAACAAGAGGTCGACCTCAACCGTATTCTCGACGTGTTGTCAACAGCTGGTCAGGTCTATCCACCGTCGTTCTGTAGACTCAGCTGTCGACCGCGCACGCTCTTGGACAAGTGTGACAGCCGACAGACAGAAAGAGCCTGCAGTATCTGACTCCCTCCGACAAGCCATTGCCTGCGCCTGCGCACGACCAGCCAGCCATCGTGGGGCGACACAGGGACGCACGAGGTGCAGACCGTCACGGACGTGTCGGCATATCGGAGCAGTGCCAACTGTCAGGACGCAGACGTCAGTTTATTGCGTCTAGCAATCAGTCGGTGCGATGCACAAGACGAGAGTATGCGAGGATAGACGGACGGACGGACGGACGGACGGACGACCGAACACGCTCGCGTAACCCAAGATCGGCTCGAGGGAACAGCGCGAGGGCGACCGTTTCGGCCTCAAGGACAGCGGCGTCTATAGTCAGTCAGTTCTGAAAGCTCGAGGTGAGAGAGAGCGCACACAGCTGGTCGTTCTTGACGCCTGCTGGTGGTGTGAGGGAGTAAAGTCTTTTCGTGGACGCCGACTGCACAAGCTGCTTGAGCTCTTTCGAAGTCGGTGGGAAGTCCCTATGGTGAAGCCACGCGCTGCTACGTGTGCCACGACGGAAGACAGGAACGACAGTCGATCGTCTGTCCGACAAACGCTCGAGGGACTTTGCCAGATCGAGAGATAGACAGGCAGATAGACGCCTGTGCTAGGAAAACGGATGACACGACGTCGTCTGTCGTCTGGTGTTCCCACTGGAGCCTTTGCCCCGTCCGCGCCACTATCGGATCAGTCCGTCCGGATGTCCTGCCAGGGCTTCCGCTTCTCATCACTCGAATACTTTCCCGTTGTGACAAATTCTGCAGGTAGGGGCAGCAAACCCGCGCTTCGCCGCCCAGCCACGCGTTGGCAAGGAACACCAAACAACGCAAAGCACTCTCTCGCCCACCCACTCACTCACCCACACTAGAGCATGCGTCATGTCGTGCTGTTTGCCGCCGCCTTTGTTGCCTCCGTTGCGGCCGGCGTCAAAGACGTCGAGGTGCACGTGATGTCGTTCAATGTCCGCACGTCACAGGCTTCGGCCGACGCCGGGTCAGCCTGCGGCAATTGGAACGGCGTGCGCAAGGACAATGTCCTGCACAACATTAAGAGTATTGGCGCTGACTTTGTCGGCACGCAAGAGACTTCGGATGCGCAGAAAGTCTACTTGGACGCGAAGTTAGCTGGCACGTACGCGGTCATTGGCGAGACCTCTGGCTCGCTCAATGGCAATGCCGCCGAGTGGAACGCCATGTACTACCGTTCCGACAAGTGGAAAGTGCTCACGAACGGTATGATTTGGCTCGGACCCGATCCAAGCACCATGTCTGCAGGGTGGGGGATGGCGTACTACCGCACGTGCGTGTGGGGTCGCTTCCAGCATATTGACACGGGGGCGTCGGTCTGCGTGCTGAACACGCACTACGAGACTCCAGGCAATGACGAGGCTCAGCAGCATGGCTCCAAGATCATTCTCAAGCACATTGAGGCCCACTGTGACGCCAGTGACGGTCTGATTGTTGTCATGGGCGACTTTAATGCGCTCAAGAGCTATCCAGCCATGCAGATTATGTTTGAAAACAACTTGGAAGACCCGTCGGACGAGGGAACGTTTTGCGGCGACATGCTGTCTGCAACCTGCGCTGTCAAGTATGACTTCACTTTGTTTCGTGCTCAGAGCAAAAACGTGTGCCACCTAAAGTCGGAGATTTCGCGCATCGAGTACGACGGATGCTACTCGTCCGACCACGCTGGACTTGTCGGCTCCTTTTGTCTCCACGGCTCTTGCTGTTCGAAGAACTTGTCATCAAGCACAGGCTCGAACGACTCATACTACCAAGACGATGACGTCGCAAATGAAAGCGATGTGGTCGGCACAGTGCAAGCAAGTGAGACCGACGACGACGACGACGGGGTAGGATCAGGGCGAGCAAACGACCGCGACAAGTCGCGACATGCAACTCCTCCTTCGTCTCCTGGCGGCGCCGAAACGATTTCCACATCTTCAGGGTCTGCTAGTAAAACTTCGATCACGATTGGAGGCATTTTAGGCGCTTGTTGTCTGTGCGGTCTCATTGGTTTCGTGGCTATTCGTCGGAAGAAGAGCCTTGAGAAGCAGACAGATTTGGAGAAGCTGGACGACTCGAGCACTACTGGATACGTCGGAGGCGCTAGAACATTGCAGTCTATGTCCAGTATGCCGGTGTTGTCTTCCTCGAAAGAGGCTGCAGAGCGCGTTTCGAACTCGTCTGTTCCAGAACTTGCGGCAGTTCCGTTCGATTCCCGCGTCTCGTCATCATCCTCCGTCTCGGTGTCTGGCTCCGACGCCGCTCGACATGTTTATCGGATTTCTGAGCTCCCTCAGTTAAGGGATAGCAGTAGCGTTATCAAACGACAGTCGACTGCATCAACAACGTATCTGGCCAACTTAGAGCAACAGTCTACGCTCGGCGACTCTGGCGTGGAGCACGAAGGCGACGCGAATCCGTCCATCATAAGCTACAGCGACACGTCCATGTCAAGTTTCGACTCGGCTGGATCGTTTGGCAACTCTTCGCCCGCTATGAGCAAGATCGACTTTAGCGAGATTTTTGCGTTGGACTCGTGCGTCTCGGACGACAGTGCGCTCGTCAAGTCGCAAGCTGACTTTGCCAAACTCTGATCGGACCGTGCAAGTACTCTCCAGCCGTGCCGATACTTTCTAGTCGTGCCGATACTTTCCAGCCGTGCAGATACTTTCCAGTCGTGCCGATATCTTTCCAGCCGTGCCGATACGTTTTGGCCGTGCGTATTTGGTCAATGAGAACATCTCGGCGCAAACGGCAGTGTCGAACGTAAATTGTCGGCACGAGACGTTGTGCCGCGCGACTCGAGCCACGTCGTTTATTGCTATATCCCCACTGCCACTGTCGTAGCGTCCTTGGTATGAGGAATGCACTCTGTCTCTAGCAGTCGGACTCCTTCGCTCTGGTTGCAGGTTCAGCTACAAGGGCCACATACAGTTATGGGCGTATGCAGTCAAAAGTTCACGTTGTAAGATGAATGCACGTTTTCTCGGAACGAAACATCGTCCGTCAATCTCTGGACAGCCCCGTCAGGCCTCCACTCTCTCCTCCAGTCCCCTCTTCTTCTCCTCCAGCTGCTTGCTCACGACGTCAAGGTCTCGCTCCAGTCGCATCTTCTGCTGCAGCAGCCACTGCAGATGCGACTCCATCTCGTGCGTCTTGTCACCGTGCGTGTCGCGGATAGCCCGAAGCACGCGCTCGCGCCGGTTGTCCGACCTCTGGATGCGCTTGTAGACGCGCTCCGCCTGCTTGGACGCCTCTTCGAGCTCCGTGTCGGCCTCGACACTGGCACGGCCGCTGAAGCAGTTCAAGCTCATGCCGTTTCGTGAGATGCAGTATGCTCGATAAAGGGGAAGGCATGGACTATGACGAGCACGAAGAGGTCGCGTCATATCGACGTGCTTTCAAAGGTGGTGTGGGTTGTGCTTATTCCCCCTTGTGCAGTATGACTACACTCTAACCGCCCATTTTCTGTGATATGAGGTACTTTTGGCCTGTCCCCCTAGCTATTCAGTCGATATTGACCGATGCTTTTACTCGCTCGTCCACTGGTTGAGTTGTGGCTTCGTGTTCATTAACGGGCCAACGTCATGACTATCGTGACTTCCCCTTGCGATGGCAAACGTCGTTTTCGAGCGTACTTTACGTGCGAAGACAAAGCCGATGACGATACTTTACAGAGCACACGCTTCCTGCTGCAACCTCAGCACTGAATGTCTCACTATTGCCGAGCGTGCGACAAAGCTGCGGCTATCAAACGAAATTGCGAGAACAGTGTCGTCCGTATCAATCGGTACATATTGTGAAAGTTTGACACCTCACGTGATGTCTCACAAGAGGAGTGCGTGTGCCTTCCCGCTCAAAAGAGGTGCCATTTTCGTAGCAGTCCACTTATCCGCCACGAGCATCTGACGGCCCTCAAACATCAGGTCGAACATGATGAAGTCCTCAAGATGAGACACACTGAATGGTGTGCAGACCGAAGAGTTCCAAAATCGATCGACAGCAGTCTTTCTTTAAATATTATTGACCTGCCCACCATTACCACGATCAGTGAAGCATACACGTTGTCTCTATTGTACAGCTCGATCCGTGTCGACACGTGTACATGCATCACCAAAACTTCACGCCGAGCCCCATTCTCACCGTGCATCACCTCCTTCGGTCCCGTTCAAATGCAGTCATTGACAGCGCGTACGTACGAGTCTGCAATCACGCGATTGCTCCAATTATGCGCTCCAGCAAAAGTCGATACCCATTTTGCAAAATGAACTGCTGGAAGGGCCCGGCCTCGACAGCCCTAAACAGCTTGAGCTGCACTGAAACAATGACATCAGTCTGCGGGTACTCTACGTAGCCTTCCGTGTTCAGCGTCGCACTGAGACGACGCGTACTCTGCTCTGCTTGACACATTTGCCAAAGCTGATTCAGCTCGTCTGAGTGCACAACGTTTAGCAGCTGAATCGCGCGGATGATTGCCTTCAAGTGATTCCACTCGTCTTGAGCTGTACGACGATTTGTCATGCCTGCAGAGCTCATAAGACCGTTCTCGCGGGCGATGCAACTGCGTCGGAACAGCTCACACTCGATCCATGTGTCCAGCAAACTCTGATATTGGGTCGTAACGACGAAGTCACGGAAAAGCTTGAGAGAGTCTTCTCGAGAAAGCACACGCTCCAGCAGGCAAGGCTCGATTGTTCGCGATACTGATTCCTGCTCGCTTCTCGTCACAGCCTGGTTTGACAGTTCAGTCGTTAATGTAAGCAGAGTGCCATCCAGACTTGCACGTGTACTCACGTCTTCGGTGATCCAGATCTCGGCTTCGTACAAGCGGTGATTCTCGGAGCATAGACCGATCTGGACGTGGAGCGCATGAATCCAGGCCACCATCTCGTCCTTGCTACTTGCACATAGCTAACAGGTCACCCGGACAAACATAAGCATGTCAGCAAATTCTACTAACACCAATGTACTACCAACAATCTGGCCTCACCTCGTAATCGCGGCGAGGTGTCTTGAGCTGAAACGAGAACGCCACGCGCTAGACAAGCAACAATGCGGTTTCATAAACTGTGCCAACCCGATTAACGACGTCTTCGCAAAACATGACAAGCACGTACTACTTCTGGCTTAGCCTTAGCGAGGACTGCACCAAGCAAACTGATCGCCGTCACGTCTTGTTGGTTCACGTTTGACTTGCAGTATAGCAGCTGGTCGCCCTTGATGATGAACCACCGCTTCCTCCACAGATTTGTATCGATCGAACTTGCTTTCTGAAGGTAGCCGGAATACACGCCCTGCACAGCACCACCATAGGTTTGCAAACGTTACAACCACCCGAACACGACATCACGCTTTGGCACCAACGCACTTTTCCTAACAGCACTGGAAAGTTGATCGACTGTGTGTCGGACAGCTGCCGCTTTGGCGATGGCGCACTTTCCCCAATGTCCAGCTGAGAACCTTGAACGTCCTTTGCATCCACAACCACAAACACCACAACCACAAACACCACAAGCACAACCACCACCACAAGCACAACCACCACCAACAACAAATGTGAATACACCCTCTCTCCCACTCACATGCCCACGTCGATGCTCGAGCTCCCTACCTTGAGCACAAACTTGACTGGCGGTCTCGCAGCCTGCTTTGCTTTCGCTCGCGACGACGACGACGACGAGCCACCACTGATCGCCTCGGTCCCTTCGACCCCCGCCTGCTGCACCGACCGCGCTCGATTCAGTCGCTCGACCAGCGGCAGAATGAGCTCCTCGTCTTTCAGCGTCCGGGCCGACAGCGACCCGGCGCTATCGGTCGGGAACACCACCACGATCGCGTACTTGTCAAAGTCCTGCACGCGGATCTTGATCTTGGCCGCCATCGACTGCCGCACTTCCAGCACCGTCGTGCTGCTCAGCAGCTTAAACACTGTCGACGACGTGAACGTTTTCGTCTCAAAGTAAATGCGCGCAAAGCCCGTGCGGTCGTCGCCACCAGCGCCGCCCGCCGCTTGCACCGCGCGCATCATTGCCGCAGCGCTCATGGCGTTGGCCCCTGCGCTCCGCTTGCGCTCGAGCGCTGTCTGCTTGAGGTGCTGCGAGCTGTTGTGGCGCCGCATGGGCACCGACGCGACGCCCGACACGGCGTCGCGACTGCGCACGCGCGACGCGAGCGCCAACACGTTCGACGCCGCGTGCACTGCTCTCTGCGGCGGCGGTGGCCCCGTCGAGCGCTGGCGCTCGTGCTTCTCGCTCGACTTCAGCGGAGCTGTGGCTGTCTGACTGTCGGAAGCAACGGCGCCGTCTACAGACGCGTTCGTGCTGCCGCTACTGCTGTGGCTGTGGCTGTGGCTGTGGCTGGAGACTGTCGCAGTGGCGTTGGCTGCTGCTGGGAGTGCTACTTTGGTAGTTTCTGTTGCTGCAGTGGCTTCGAGGCGGTCGACGTGGGGGGTGGGGCAGTCCATGGGACGCGTCGCTGCCGTTTTCTCCGCGTCGGCGATCGACGACTCCATTTGGGTTACGGTGGGACTCGTCAGTCAGTCTGTCTGTCAGTCTGTCAGTGAGTGAGTGAGTGAGTGAGTGAGTGTATCGAGGAAAAGGGGACGACGGCGGCTTCCTAGTGGCTGGCGCCTGTGGTGCTACGGCGGGCGTGGAGACCGTGTGGGATTGGTCGAAAAGGCGGGACGGCGCCGCCCCGACCACGGACGAAGACCGTGCGGTCACGAGTGCGACAGTTGGCGCGGGACAGCGTCCTCGACGTTGTGCGCGACGTCCCGGTCGTCGCGGTGGGGGTTTTTTTAAAAGGCTTTTTTTGTTTTGGTGAGCGATACTACGTCGGTGCATATAAACGCGCGACTCGTACGCGAGGGACACAGTATATCGTGAGTTTTATACGCATGCACGTCACGTGTGTCGTTCGTTTCGTGCTAGACAAAACAGCCCCTTGCTAACGACTATGCTGACGCGCTGCTCGCCAACCTACGCGCTCGGAACCGCATCGTTGTCGCCTGACACGCGCATGCCGACCGCGCGGCGTTGCTCATGGTTGCCGACATATGTTGGCGTGCGTTCGTCGCGCCATTGTCGCTTCACGGGCCTCAGAGCAGAAAAATGTCGTCCTTCGGGTGCTTGTAGATCGTCGTTTGCTTGCCAGGTACGTCCAGCACCTCGTCGATCTGCTTCGTGCACTCTCGATGCGCGTCACTTGACGTCCACGCCTTGTAGTCGTTGATTGACTTCCACTGCAGACACGCGGTATAGCATCGTTTTCCATACAAAGCCGTTGGTTTAGTCCCAATGACGATGACCCATGCAGCAAGAAAAAGAGTGCCAGAGCTCGGCCGCACCTCCGAGAGCACCACGTATTTGTGGTGGTCGTCCACGTCACTCAGCGTCTCGAGTGAGAGCAGTCCAGGCTGCGCCCGCACCACCTTTTGAACCTGCATCCACGGACAAGAACACAGAGGGATTTTCCACAGTGAGACAAATGACCTGTTGCACAGAGGTATGTGCACAAAACACTTGTTGCGGCGTGTGCCACCTTTTCCATCAGGCGCACGACCGTAGGCTCGAAGCCCCGGCTCATGATGCGCTCGCTCAGCACTCGCACTGGTTTCCTCTGCATCGCGCGTGTGTGTGTGGACGTGTGAGGTGCGTGTGCTCGTTGCACTCGCTCGCGTCTCCTGGTCGTCGTGTGTGATTGTGGGCAAACGGAGCGCCGGACGTCACCTGCGACTGGGCGTTTCGAGCGAAACCGAGAGGGGCGTTTTTCTGTCGCAGTATGTCGTTGTCTCGTCGATGTAGCCATGTGGTCAGAACGCCCGAGCGCGAAGACGCAAGGAAAAGGGCACGTGGTATGGTGTCCTAGTGTTCTGACGAAAAATTAGTCCCGTGATATGTTGCACGTAGGGTGCAAATACATTCGGGCGACATACTCGATGCGGCGTACATACTGACGCGCTGCAACGTGCGACGAATGAACTCGCAATGACAATGGGAACAAGACATCGACAGACGGATGGACGGATGGAGGATGGACAATCACGACGGAGAAGACAGGAGCAAGGTTCCACACAGGAAAGTGCCGGAAAAGAGGGGATCATGGACTTCCGAGCACGATCTGGCTAGGAAAGCAAGTCAGTTCTGGTGAGGTCGTTCAATGAGAGACCACAGACATCGTAGCACATCAGTAGGAGCTGCTGTCTTTATGTTTGCTACGAATCTTGCTACAAACGAGAGTGCACAAATTTGCACGTTACATCAAGTCTGCATCCACAAGCTTTCGTATCGAAACGCCACGAATCAGGAAATATTCTGGCCTTAGTAGTCTTTCTTCGTAATTTATCATATTCGCATGCGACGTCGACGAATGGAAGCGTTCAGTTGCACACGAATTCGTACAAATCGAACGAGAGATGAGAAGAGTGACACATGAAGCTTTTGACCTGATTTGCGACGTCATTTGAGACATTCGTTGCGTTTGCGATAGAGCAAAGAAGTAGACGCACGACAGGAGCAAAGTGGATCGTTGTGCCAGATTTAGAGTCCTTCTTACGGGATCGTCATGCATAAACGCGTATGCCACAATCTTCTAAGCGCACGTAGTATTTTGTACTAGACCGATTTTGATAGTCTGCGATCGAATATTTCGAGATAGAATGAAGAAAAAAGCTCTTACAAAAAGTGAAACACCATTTCTGATGGTAATTTGTAACAACTTAGGCCAGCTCCCGAGGCATACCGTACTACTTTTTTAGTGACGTGCACGACTTTTGAAAGAGCTGGACAGCCGAAATGAAACAATGGTACTCATTGTGCAATAAGTGTGCATGTAGGACTCGGCTGCTTCCGATCACTGTGTCACAAGGTTAGACTCAGAACGTCGTGAGTCGACTTAGGCCTTATTTCCCATACATGTCTCCAAACGAGATATGAATGGGATAAACGGCCTGGTCCGACGGACCAAATTAGGTATGACAAAACATAAGGCGGGTACATCCTTGAGCATATCTGGCGTGCAGAATTGCCCGGACAGCTGTCGGCAAATCGACACGCCTTCGTTTTACGGATACTTCCCGATCTTCGAGAGCAGATGAGGACCGTGGGTTTGAAGGCTCGTCGTATGCAATGAGAAGAGTACAAGACAAGAGCCATCAAATGCCTCGATGGATACCAAAAGCTGTTGAATGGCTGAAACGTACATCGAGTTCTCCAGGAATTGCAGCGACGATTCAGCGATTTCTGGATTACACCTTGATCCCATTTTTGCAGAATCCAAACCCATCGTGCGAGCGTCACATTACGTTCGTGCCGTCGCCATGTCAATGTTGACACTGATTAAGACAACTTTTCATCAGAGCGTTTCAATGTGCTCTCTTTTCGACGACCACCTCAGCTCTCATTGAGGATGTGGCAACGACTACTGCTCTGAAGCTCTACGCGATCGATATCGAGATATCCGTAACTTGCCAAAACCCAAGAGCTCAAGAGCTTTCATCGCCACGGCCATTAGCCCAATAAGCATCGAGCCAGATACACACCTCGGATCGATGACGACCACGAGCCCGCACGCTTCCCTAAAGCGCACAATGCGATCCATCGATGCTGCGACGTATCAAAATGTCCGATGCATGGGTTCATCATAGCTTTAGCGTAGCGTCACGGGTTTCTGGACGCGGAACTTCTGCGCGATAGTTCGGAAGGAATAAAGTGGACGTAAACCATGACGGCTTACACCGGTAAAAAGTGCTAATGTGGTGCCAGCCACGAAAGTACGTACGTGAACACGAGAGTGTTCAGCTATATTTGAACGAGTACGCGGCACGCTTTTTCACAGTGCGCTCTTCCACCTGTATGTCAAGTCGATCGACTCAAACCAACACCACTTTTCCAACGATAGGGTCCCCGCGCCAATTCCAGCGGAAAGATTGTCGACTTTGCTCTGGTCTTTGTCTCGTACTTGTGCTGCATAGTGTACCCACCAAAGCCGCGGCGTGGTCACCAAACGTTTGATGTGCTGGTCAAAGTCGCTCGAGTATTCTGCCGCCATGTCGTATCCGAAAAAGACTTCACGCTCGTAATCTCTTGCCCGTCGAAATGCCACTCCGATACAACGTGCTTCTCTGAGCCCGTTGAGCACGTACCTAGATCGGATGTGCAACGTGCTCGAGCTTCACGTGGCGATCAATACCCGCCACATACGCGTAACAACATGGGCTTCTCAACAGGAATCGTGCACCAGCGTGTCCGACGAAAAAGCCGTCCTGCGACAGCGTCGAACGTCGTTGCACGCGACCGTCACATAGTGCAATGGCGCCACTTTGCCTTTCCTTCGCTTTCGACGTGTTGGCTCAGTCACCTGCTCGTGGGTCCCTTGCCTCGTGCACCACAACTTTATTCTCGTGCGGACAAACTTGTTTGTCCTTGCACGCCTCTCGCCCGTAAACCACAATGCCTCTCCAATCTTGCAATCATGTCAGCCGGTCAATGGGAACCCGCGGTCAGCATTTTGTGCATGGGAAGTCCGTCAAGCCCCAGACCATGATGGATGCGTACTCGGCCACAGGCAACGAGCGCGTGTTGCCATTACACTCAGAGGCTCTGTGCTCATTCTGATCTCAAAACGAATGACAGCACCTGTACTGTCCGTCGGTGTCTTGTACCTCCTCACTTGCTGTGCTTCAGGATGAGTCGCATGGGCTCCTCCTCGCTTCCTGATGGAGCTGTGCACTCCGTCCTCAAGAGTATGATACTTCCAACGTGCTACACCCTGGAAACCGCCAAAACTGAGTCAAACATGCAACTCCAGGTGAGTGTCAGTCAGCCTCTTTGCGATTGCGTAGTTGACATCATACCCGTCGCGATAGCAGAGACCACTGCTTTCCCAGGTCGCGCGATCCACCATTTGTCTGCTCCGTTGCTAGTCAGTTTTCGCAGCGACACCCATTGCTTTGCAAACGAAGTGCGAACACCTCCTTAACGACTCGGCCAGCGAGCAACAGGTCATCAAATCTGTCGTCTGGATGACGTCCACGACTCGCAATACAAAGCGTTGCTGGGGTGCCATCGATTGTCATGTTCGTCACACCAGGGCCGCACTTCGACGACTTGATGGCGACCCCGTTTGCCGTTTTGACAGCCACATCGCACGCGTAATCCTTTGCGCAGAAGTGGGTCTATTCGTGCAGGTGTACTGACTAACACGAGTCGTCATCGATCCTCAGCCAAGCTCAAAGCTATTCTTGCCGTTCAGCCTGCAGCGTACTTCGCCACACCGAAATCCACTCGCTCTTCTCTTGACTTTCAATATTGCTGCAGAGGAACAAGCCGGTGCAAGTCCGCAGCTATGCCGTAACGTCCAGACCTCCGTAGATCGATCACGAGACCGTATAAACGGCCTGAGCTTGTAGTGTTGACTCTGCTCGCCTCAATGTCGATGCAAGAAAGGATTGCGTGACTGCAACAAACATCGCAAACTTTGTTCGTACACCGTGTCTTCACGAACGCCGTTGACGAGCCGAACGCATCTCTATCGTAAAGCAGCACCGGATCGTTGCTCAAGCTGCTAGCGCACGCACCAATCGCAACGCCACCTGATTTGAATCGTCGACAAGGCTTTCTCTCGTTCTCTCGCTCTCTAGCGGTAGATGGAGCTGACAATCCCGGCTGCTGTGCGTGAGCAGCAGCAGCAATACTGTCCGAGCACTACGACATGATAATACGACTGTCACAGCGACAGATCAAGAACGTTCATAGCTCGGAATCTGACAAGCTCGTTCGCTTGGCAATATCGCTGGATCTCTCTCGTATCGACGGCGTAGTTACCTGGAACACACCAACATACATCACGTCGACCACGACACGCAACATAAAGGCTCACTAAGCAATGTCGGTTGGCCACACTTACCATGTGTGCCGTTGTGGCGACTGTTCTAGGCAGATGACGGACCCGTGCTGGATCGGCATCGTCCATTGGTCCAACCGAACGACCAAAAGCACAATCACACCACAACCAGCACCAGCACCGGGTAACAGCAACTGCAACACTCGACACTGACAATGAGCTCAACGACACTCGATCTCATTTTCGAATACCCACAGGTGTGTCTGTGTGATCAATCGACCGACCTCACTCCTGATTCAGCGCTACTCGACCTCTTACGAACAAGTCAGTGGTCATGGCTGTCTTCAAATGGCCCACTCGCTGCCTTCGTTTGCCTCGTCCTCAGGTGTGATAAAAGGCGTCTGAATCGACTTAATCATCACCTCACCGCAGAAAATACACTCCGATGCGATGATCTCGTCCAGCTTTTGCTGCACCATCTCACGTTCCTGCGCAATAGACTGCTCTTTCGCAGCACTTTTTGCCTTTGCAATCGCCGCGGCGCTGCTTCCCTCAGAGCCAGGCGTCATCGCCTCTTTTTCGGTGGACGACAAGTTAAGAAAAGGGAAGGCGGAGAGCGGTCGCTGGAAAAAGTTCGTGCTCGCCGGCAATTCCGTGGACAGCTCACTGAGCTTTTGCACGAGCTGCTTCACCGTTTGTCGCTGAAAACTATTGAGGTGTTTCTGCATCTCCTGGCGGAGTGCACCAGCATGGAAAGCGTGTGAGCACGGAAAAAGGTAGAACTCCTTGCCCAAAATATTCTGACCAGTTAGCTCGCAGCGCTGATTGCCAGACACAACAGCACAACGTTTGCGCAGTTGCTGCATATCAGCACGAATCAACTCGGCCGACTGCGTGTAGTCTTGCATCTCTTCCTTCAGCTGTTCAATGCGGTCATTGTACACTTCGAGCGACTCGCAAATCTCTTTCTTGAAGTCGTTGATCAGGACGAAGTCAGGGAAGAAAGGCAAGATGTCCTCAATCTTTAACAGATCACTCTCCTTTAGAATATTCATAGCGTCCTTGATCTCACCGCCTGCGTCGATCGTATGTTTGGCAATCAGCGTCCACAGTTTCTTGCGAGTCTCATCATCCTCGGGCATACCAGCCATTTCCTTGGCTATCTTCACATCGACTTGCAATGCCTTTTCCACGGCGTCCTGATACAGTCCCATCGCAGAGTAGATGTAGATGCAAGCACGGTTCTTCTCGTTCTGAGTGCAGAGGCGCAAAGCAAATGCAATGTCGAACAGATGCTTCCCATTGTGCTTTTTGCGCAAGAAGCTGATGAGCAAACGCTCGTCAGGGTGCTTGGCCAGCAGGAACAGTAGGTAATTGTGGATTGTCGGGTCGCGGTTGCCTTGCTTGATGGCAAACTTTAAGAACCGAATGGCCATGTCCAAGACCGAGCGACTTTTCGTTGTGCTACTTGTCGATTCTGTGCCCGCGACGCTTTTTTGGTGCACGTGACGCACAATCGACGGAATGAGGCGCGTCGGGTTCAGCGTGGCAGCCTCCAGCCATGCCTCGTACACCTCCTTTGGCTTGTGAACGATCAGTTCGGGTGAGTACTTGTACCAGAGCTCTTCCACTTTCGACGTTTCGACGCTACGAAGCAACTCGATTGCAGCTCCATACTCACCGCGGTCCACATGATACGTGATTACTTTTTCGTAGTCTTCGATAAGCGTTGCGTAGAACACAAGCTCATCTGGTCGACCGTGGCTGGAGATCAAATTGAAAGTCGTGGCTGGGTCGAGATGACTTTTTTGATCTTGCAAGAACTGCTTGAACTCAAACAGCAAATTAGCATGCGCATCGACATCTTGCACACTACCCTTGAGCACATTGAACTTGTCCAGAAACAGTTCAACGATCCAGGAACACAGCACAGTCTGCTGTGTCTTTTCGTCACTTCCCAAGCCCTTCAGCTTCTGCAGCAAGAAAAGAAGTAGTGAGTCGCGACTTTCGATCTCGAGAAACTTCAGCGCCACCTCTTCGAACGAGCGCGTCGTCTTTGCATACATAACAGCGGCACGATCATACATCCCCTTATCAAAAAGTTTGTCTGCTTGCGCTGTCAGCACGCGCTGGCGTTCCCATCCGTTGCGGCAGACCGCCAATGCCTGCTCGAAATCGCGATCGTCACCGTTGCCCATCACAGCCTTGCTCAGGAATAGCTTCCAGACATTACGGTCCTCGTCAGCAATAACCACCTCTAAGATACGCCGGCTCGAGTGGACCCACACTGTATTGAACGTGTCGTCCACCGCAATGCCATGCACAGTGCCAACTCGCGAGTCGAGCGATTCTTCCATGACAACCACGCCACTTAGCTTCGATACGACCTGAATATGACGCGCGAACAGCAGGACTACGTGGTACTGGGTCACTGCCATCGACACTGGCGGTGTCCATGATCCGCGACTGTCGGATGACTTTTCCGGTTTACCAGGGTATGCCAGCAATCCTGTGCCTGTCGTCACGTTTTCCATTGTGCTCGACAGTCCAAACACAAACTCACCATGGTATACCCCATCTCCCGTAAGCACACCAAAGCCCTTTGCACGTTCACGGCCTTGCTTAACATAGAACCGCAGTTCGGCTGTCGTGATGTCCCCCGGCATTTCCTGAAAACGTAGCTTGTCAGGACTCGTGTACTCTTGGAACATCGCGTCAAAGCCATCTCGACCGCCGCTCATGAACTGAAACACACGCGTCGGTCGCTTGCCCGACGCCGACGTCGTGAGCATCACATAGTATCGCTTGTCGCCTGACGGCAGCTGCCAGTGCTCGAAAGCGATCCCAGCAATCGCTCCCTGATTAGCAATCTGAAACACTTTGGTCACTGTCTTTTCCTTGCCGCCATCGAACGCTGCTTCAAACACCGCGCCCGACGCAGTCCCAATAAGTATTGGCTCAGACGCTTCGGGCGATCCCGCTTGGCGGTCCCACGCGACGCTTGTCAGCTGCATCCCCTGGGTCTTGGCGATCTTCTTGGGGCGCGTGGACCCCGTGTGCAAGTAAAAGTTCGAGCCATTGTCCATCGACACGAGCACGTGAGCGCCTGTCGGGTCAATAAACACACTTGACATGGCGACACGGGGCTCAATCATAATTTCTTCGATCGTTCCGTTGCTGTCGGTCGCGTCCGTCGTGCAGCGCAGCAACACGCCCTCTTGGGACCCCATGGCCAGCACCCCATTGCCCACGGCCAAACAGCTCAGCGTGAACCCCTTGCGACGCGACACCTTGAGGCCGTGCTCCCGCAGCTCAAACATGGGCTTCTCCTGCTTCTGGAGCCGCGACGCGTCGTCCTCCCCGATCGTCTCAAAGTCAAAGTCGTCCGTGTTGGTGTTGTTGTTGTTGTTGTGGCTGCTGCGGCCTCCGCCACCGCCTGCGTTCCCGTCATTGCTCACGGCACCTGTAGGGTACAGCGCGTCGAAGGCCCCTCCGCCGCCAGAGCCGCCGGCGACGCTGCGGACGTCAGGAGCCGACGCCTCTTCTTTCTTCCAGTCTGCAAACAGATCCGCCGACATTTGATACTGTGGAGAGCAAAATGGGCCGTGGCGGTCGTCCGACTGTGGCGCAGAGTGGGTACACACGGCAGAAGGGCATCTGGACCGTGCCAGATGGTGAGGGGGCTTTTAATAACCTCGGCGCTTCTATTCGGTGTCAAAAATTTAGTAACCACTTGTCGCGCGCGTGCGACTGTTGGATTGTTGCTGACATGTGCAGACGGCTCCACAACATCCACGAAAGCCGTCGATGGAGCAGAGAAAAAGGTTACCTGTGACATGCCGCCAGTGAGACGGAGAAGCGCCGGCTGGGGGATCCGTGACAAGGCGCTGGTCTCCGTGTCGGCAGAGCTGGACTTGGAGTCGATGGACGGCAATTTAGTTTTGTATCGGTCATGCAGAGAAGGTCTGCCGTCAGCCGTGATGCTTTTACTTCCTGCAGCGTTCGTAGACAACCGCACGTCTGTCGATCTTTTCTCCTGTTTAAATGTAGCTCGATGCGCCAGTCGCGCATCCATCTACTTAAGCCGAGGGACGCCGAACGAATTGGACTTGACGGCACACATGCGTGTAGCAGTTTTGCGTCCTGCAGTCGAACCCCACATGCTATAGGCTTCGCGTAATACCCAGGAGGTAGACCGCATTCGTATGCTATCGGACGTGATGTGTACTACGTGGGAAATGGATGCCCATCTGTTTGGTACATCATCGTCATCATTCGTACAGTATGTCAGATGGGGTCCTGGTTGCAGTGCTGTAACGGTTGGGGTTTGCAAAACAGAAGCAGTCGAAGCAGTGCCTGGACTGGTAGCATTGCGATACCCATTCTTGACTTGGTCGAACGTTATCGCTTTGTCTAAGTATTCTAGCTGAAGTATCGTTCTTGAGTCACGCAGATGTCGGAGCGAGTAGCGAGGCGTACTTTTGGTTCGGCCTCGTTCCTCTCTCTCTCTCTGCCAAAACGTTTGTTGAGAGTTGAATGGGAAAAACAAGGAAAGCGCGTACAGTCTTGGGCAATATTCGAGTCACGTGAACGCTCGATGTCCTACACCATGCCTAGAGCTATCGTCGGCGAAGCCACAGACACATGAGGTTGGTGAAGTGGACTGATGAGCACCTAGAGTTGGCTGTGAGGTTTTGCGGCATGAAGGATTACCACATTCAAACAAGCATTGGTCACTTTGCCCGAGAAGTTCGTTCGGCAAGATCGGCGAAACACCTTTTTCAGGCCCATGCAAGCTCCATCGAGAGTACAGGTTTTGGCATTTGCAATTGACATGGCCCGCTTTCAGTCAGGTCTTTGCTATCGTTTGGTCCCAGGAATCGTGCCGAGTCCATTTTTACACAAGTACCGTCGTTACAGCCCCACATGTGTATATACGGCAGCTTAGCGACTGCCTTTTCGCGCTCGCTGTAGCAAGAGTTGTGAACGGTGCCGACCGTAGCCGTCTCGCAGCGACAGGCGATACTTTGGGCTGACGTGCACACAGACAGACTTGAATTACGTGTGGATGCGATATCGTTTCCGACACTCTAACGCTCCACGGTATGTGCGGGCTCATACGAATGGTCTCTCACCACCTCCTTGAGTGTTCACCTACCATACACAAGAACATATCTTTTCCTTTGTCACGCACGTCAACGTACGTCATTATTCTACCAGAACACTATTGCCTTGTGCGGGGAAATCGCGTGAAGCGGCCAAGATACTCGAGCCCAGTGCTACACGTTGTGCACCTCAGACGTGGAGCGATTAAAGTGTGCCCAACGAACTCGTTGCAACACCTTGTTCAAAGCCCTGAGACAAGACACAGATTCGTTGAGATCGAGAGACACCGACTTCTTGAGTAAGGAAGGGAACACACCTGTTTGATCGGACAGACATTCCATTCATATGGTCGACTGACAGCGTTCGATTGTCGATGTCTTGATCGCGATTCACGCCAAGTGGAGGAGTTTCATGATCGTCTATTTACATGTTAAGATGTGCAAGATGTCTGAAAAGTCCTAAACCAGGATACGAGCGCCGGAACGGTTAGCTCATCGTGGCTGAAAGTCAGTGAAGCCTAGCGACCTGTAGGAACTTGGCTGAGAATGTCCAGGCAGGCGTGAAGACGCGCCCCTCTGACCGCTGTAGCTGCGGACCGATGTTCTCGCATAGCAATTGCCTTCAACTGCCGCAGACCGCCCCGCCAGAATACTGGGGCACTTTGAGCCGGAGAAGTGGTCTCCCCTCGAAAGATTACCGCATTGCGCTCCACCCAAAGATGCACCTGACACAAGGAGCATAACACAAACCAGATCCGACGGTATTCGTCTGCCGCTGCCATGTGATCATCTCCAAAACGATCAATTAAGAGCTGCAGCAAACGCGGTAGAAGCGGAGGCGCCCTTCGATGGGCGAAATACCGAAAATGACCCGTCACTGCGGATTCCTGAACCCCCTCACCAGACCAATGACAGAGCAATAGGCTCCAGCAGGCTATCGCAGTTGAACAATCCCAAAATATATGAGTGACAGTCTCTGTGCGCCCCTTGCTGTAACGGGGTTACACGTCGGCTGGTAGTCGACGATAGGTGTGGTGCACACAAGAGAGGGGGGGGGTTACCCTATAAAGTAATTTTAGAACACAGTGACTGTATCAATTGTTGAAGGCTGATGTCTGTCATCAATTGATTGCGAGATCTTTTAAGAGGTTATTTAGGGCAGGTTAAATACGTTGTTCTAAGGTGTTCTTTTAGGTTAATTAAAGAAATAAATTTCAGTTCCCCTTTTGATCAGTAAGAGACACGTGCCTTACGAGGCGTCTTTGATCG